AGTCGAGCTCTCTCTTCCATGACGTTCTGAGGCAGCCATCCTCATCATAGTTTCAGACATAGGCATGTAGGCATAGTGGATATGAAACACATCCATATCAAAATCAAATCAATTAATTCCGTCGTGAAGCATATACATTGTGGTGTCAAAGTCAATGAGTTGAGGTGCGATGTTTGATGGGGTAAGCCACCAACCCAACCAGACCCAACTAAATATATATATTTTCACCCAGGCAACGGAGCGGTGCAAAGCGGTGCAAGATCAACAAAGTAAATAAAAATAGCAAAACATATAAGAAAACTGAAAGGCTTCATTCTGGAGTGATTTTAAACACAGAAAAACAAACATTCACACCAGATCAGATCCTGTCAAGTTTCACACAAAGACACTGAATGAAGGAAATATATATATATTCAATGCACAAGACAGACCAAGCATCGACATGGAACATCAATTATTTATCCACTGTGAATCATACCTCATTATCATATGCCGCCGGTGCAAGCACGCTGTGTGGCCAACAGAGATTGAACGGCATCTGAAAGGCAAGGCCCATCAGCTAAAGCATGCGGTGGTTCAGCAGATAAAGGAGAACATTGAACAGTGGGACAATGTGGCTCGAGATACTACACAGTTAACACTGCCCACATACTACACAGTTAACACTGCCCACAATACTGAATGAACCAATCCCGGAACTACCCATTCAAGATGGCTACAGGTGCCAGCAGGATCCCCCAGTGCCAGTATTTGGCAGGGAACATGAACACCATACGCAAGCACTGGGCAGAACAAGCACAGCTGGTCGCCATATCCCAGCCGTGGCCGTACAGCGCCACAAAAGCGTACGGCAGCACAGGATGAGGTGGACAGATCATGCCAGAAGGTGCAGTTCCAGCAGATATTTGCATCGCGCAAGGGCTCCCACTACATACAGATCCAGACTAAGGAGACTACTGAGCATACCGGCACGCCAGACCAGAACAGAGCCAGCCAGGCCATTGATGAGCTGGAGCGATTTTACCAGGAACAGCAACGGCAGACCAGCAATGTCATCCAGGCCGGGGAGCACGATGAAGCCAACCCATGGCTGCGGCGGACCAGATGGCCGGTGTACTTGACCAACATCGCACCCAATGATCTGGTCAACTGCGTGCAGCGGCCCGAGGATGACACCACGTGCCCAGATGAACTGGCCGCGAGGGCCATCGGGAGGCCATGGGGCAGGTTGCCCGTACCAGCCAGCGAGTCATCACACGGCTGGGCCACTTCGTCCGCATCGAGGCCATCCGCACAGAGCGACACCAGACCCGGCACACCCCGTTGCAGGCGTACATGGACGAGGAGAGCATCGCCGAGCACGTGAGGCCATGGCAGCAGATGTTGATGTTTTTCGCCCGAACGCAGGTCGAGCATGAATGGACGAGCCCACAGTACCGGTTCACACCACGGCAGCGCAAGACATGGAGGGTATTATGGCAGGTAGCCACCACAGAGGGAGCCGACCAGCGACACCCCATCAGCCCAGACCCCATGGATGAGCAGATGACTGAGGAAGAAGAAGAGGAGGAGGAGAAGGGACAGAGAGATACGCAGTCAGAAGAAGAAGATAAGTTCAAATCAACCAAGATCCAGATGGCATGTTTGGATTTTTGCATTGAGCTGCTGGACCAGCGGGTTCAGGTGGAGGATTATGAGTGCGCGCTGGTAGACGCGTTGGCGGTGCTGGGACGGGGGGAGTATGGATGGCGCGACGCGGAGAGCTATCCAACAGGTGGGGGTGGAATGGACGTCCATTCCATTCAGGGTTAGAAAACCGACCAATCAGAGCAGGGCAGATTGGACGTACATTCCATTTGGTTTCAGACGTTGAACGTCTAATCAACCACGGAGTCAATTGACTTCAAACTTTGCATGTAGGCCGTAGTGGATATGAAATACAACATATCCAAATCAAAAGCGATAATTCCGCCGGGAAGGGGTTACATTGTGGTGTCAAAGTCAATGAGTTGAGGTGCGATGTTTGATGGGGTAAGCCATCAACCCAACCAGACCCAACTAAATATCTATCCAACAGGTGGGGGTGGAATGGACGTCCATTCCATTTAGGGTTAGAAAACCTTAGAAAACCGACCAATCAGAGCAGGGCAGATTGGGCGTACATTCCATTTGGTTTCAGACGTTGAACGTCTATCCAACAGGTGGGGGTGGAATGGACGTCCATTCCATTCAGGGTTAGAAAACTGACCAATCAGAGCAGGGCAGATTGGACGTACATTCCATTTGGTTTCAGACGTTGAACGTCTAATCAACTACGGAGTCAATTGACTTCAAACTTTGCATGTAGGCCGTAGTGGATATGAAATACAACATATCCAAATCAAAAGCGATAATTCCGCCGGGAAGGGGTTACATTGTGGTGTCAAAGTCAATGAGTTGAGGTGCGATGTTTGATGGGGTAAGCCATCAACCCAACCAGACCCAACTAAATATCTATATTTTCACCCAGGCAACGGAGCGGTGCAAAGCGGTGCAAGATCAACAAAGTAAATTAAAATAGCGATCC